CTATATATTGATGTTCACCTCACAACATTTAGATTAGTTCGTGGAAATATTTCAAATCATTAACTATAATACCAACGTTAATCGAATATTGCTTTCAGGATAGCCTGAAAAGATTAAGAGATTTTAATTAGCCTTAATATATTGAAATTGTTTGTTAGATAAAACTCGAAGGCTTTTTGCAGAGTGACATGTGTCAGACAGTGAAATCTGATGTGTTTGTTTCTCGTTATTAAAACGCTTTTATTAAATTTCATAATTTTTAATCATAGCTATTTTATTTTCAGATTCACCTTCCAATTATGTTTGTCTTTCGTTACATGTTTTAATTCAATTGAAATTGATGATCCGCCTTCGCTTTTCCCGATCCGATTGGCTGTAATTACAAGATTTCCCCCACCTCATCTCGCTTGTTTTCTCCTTTTGTTTTCTTTGGTATTCTCCTTTTGTTTTCTATTGATTATAGCGTGATTAGAGCTTTGTAATTCCTTAGAACTTGTATTGCGTACACATGTCGAGTTAGACGACGAATCACGAAAACAGAAATAAAGATTTACGTGTTGACTTGTTAGAAAAGGAAACGCCTTTTTTTTCCTCTGCCATTTCATAAAATTTTGCACGCTTTATAAAATAACTGATTACTCAAAGTTTGACTTTTTAATCATTTTATCTTAAGCAAGGTGATAATACCGCTAAGACGCAACGGTTTGCTAGGAATAAAAGGGACTGGGAAGACTTTAGAATAAACCGGAAACCCAATTCTAAACAAAATAAAATGGATAAATCTCTACCTCTTTCCAAAAGACCAGAGGGATAGAATAGAACCGAACGATAAGCGAATCTATCTACACCTATTATTGAAAACAAAAGATTAACAATAAATTTCAGAGTTTCGGTGTAAACGTTAGGAGTATAGAGTTGAAATAGACTTTTGAAGGAACCGGAAATCCAAACCTAAACAAAAATCAAGGTAAACTATTTACATTATTCGGGCTATTGTCCTCATCTTTGTCGCCATATTTATTACGTTTCGGTCGTTGTACACTACGGCCTTCCTCAAATGGCTTAAATGTTGAACTGAACCCTTTATCTTGCTCACTGAGGTAGACTGTTCTAGTTCCACGTCCTGCCACTGGATCTAGCCAACGCCTTTATCCACTGTGCCATGTCTTCTTGAGGACCTAAAGAGTGTGAGTTCAATACCCGGTTAAGGCATTGGAGAACTTGGAGAGGGGAATTAACAGGAGATAACTGACATCCATTAAACATGTCACGTGGGACTAGAACAGTCTACCCCAGTGAGCGAAATTAAGGGGTCAGTTCGACATTCCAACCACCTGAAGAAGGCCGGGACATACAACGGCCGAAAAGTTGTAATAAATATGGCGTCAAAGATATGGACCTTAGTCCGAATAATGTAAATTGTGTACATCATACCTCATCTCAGAAATATAAATTGGTGTAGAGGATTTCTCCAACGATTTCTCGTTCCTTCTAATGTCATAAAGAATTACACATTGTACCGTAATCATTATAGATTTGATAATTAAATTTCGGATAATATTTCTGCACAAATATCATGTGTTCTAGTGAATATTTTCTGGGTACGTTGTGTAATCAAACGTTATGGGACGCGACTTAAACTTAGTTATGGTTATACAATGACTAAAACTAAAGGGTAGACAGGCCGCCTCCTTAAGGTAAGGCTTCAAGAACACCAAAAAGCTCTAACACCAGTGGAAGTAAAAAAAAAAAAAATCAGGCGTGGCTGACCACATATGGAGGAAAGAGGGGGATCACCACCGTCTGTGGGATCAGGTTGAAATCATAAACAAAAACATTATTGGAAAATTCGTGAACTTAAGTAATCAGCACATATGCTAGGCCACAATAATCTCTTGACCGGACCAAGTATAGAAATGAATACATATGGGGACCAGTAATAAGGAGTTCCAGAGAAATGTAATAACAACCAAAATTGCAATATGAGCTCTGATAAATAACATGCAATGGTAACAACCAAAATTGCAATAAACGGTTGCTGAAGACATTAAGTTTATAAATCCCAAAAATTCATAAATAGATCTCCTTAAGGACACATTGCACAGTGGATGAAGGCGTTGATTAGATCCAGTGACAGGGCCTAAAGAGTTGTGCGTTCAATACCTGTTAAAAGCAATGGAGAACTTGGAGATGTGAATTAACAAAGGGTAACTGATAACTGACATCCATTAGACATGGCACATAGAACTAGAACAGTCTATCCCAGCGAGCGAAATAAAGGGTTCAATTCGACATTCCAACCACCTGAAGAAGGCCGGAGCGTACAACAAATACATATATGGCAACAAAGATGTGTACAATATTCCGAATAATGTAAATAGTGACTAAAATTAATAATAAGAAAAAACAATGATGTTATTCCAAGTAACTTATACAGGAATAATGTCGTCCCAGGAATATCGAAGACAATACCTAGTAGAAAAATTTGATCGCATCAACAAAGAAAAAAGCACTGGTCTAAATAATGTAATTAAGAGCTATATTCCTTGTTCCCAGCAGCCCACTACATAAGGGACAGAAAATATATAAATGAATAAACACTGATGTTTCTATATGGATTCATGATTCCCGAAATCTGACAAATGAAAAGATTTGCTGGCACAGTTTGGTGAGCAAACCGAAAACGTCGCAGCAGTAACCGATTGAGATGAAAAAGTATAATTTGAATTGATATTGATTTCTGTTAACGTTTACCATGGGAACGTTTTAGCCGCTTTTTCGAAAACGAAGCTAAAAACTTTAACCATTGGCAATTATGGTTCAAAATGGACTGGGCGGTTTTTTCTACGTCTTATTTAAAGTTTAATTCTCTTATTTTAACTTACAACAAACAAAATTGACCGTCGGAAACACAGGAATTTTTATCAAATGCGTTTTTTTACAAACCTAAATACTAACTTAAAAATTACAACGAAAAATAAATATTTATGCGTATACATCATCTGCGGACACAAATGGAGAAAATGAAATACAATTTAAATATATTAGGTTTTACTAGAATGTTAATTTCCCAAGAGACAAAGTGTGCCAATTTTTAGAGCAATGTGTTTTAATTTCACAGAAATTAAAATCCAAATATTTATGTAGGATATAAGAATGGACATATGGAAAATTATGGAGATTTCATACTAATCCAGTGTGTCCAATAGGATAAACTGAATGAAAGAAAAAAACAAACATTGTTTTTAATTATAAACTGACGTCAGTATTCTAAAACTATTTTCATTCTACGTATGAGTAAACGTATTATGTACATACATATATGCACATATCACACTACACACACACATATATATATATATATATATATATATATATATATATATAGTTTATTTATGCAGCAAAATTTCTATAAGACAAACATTAAATAAACAGACGTTTTATCTCAATTTTATTGAATTTTACACATTACGAATAATTATATATATATAATTATATTATATATATATATATATATATTATATCCATATATATATATAGAAACAAGTTGTGTTGAGTTCATATACATTATATTCATTTACGCATAAATACGTTTGAAAAGTTATTTATACATAGTCTATCCGGAAAAGTTATGAATAGCTAGCAGGACCTTGTAAATAAAGGATAAACTCTAAATTCAAATCATGAAGACAGTTGATTGGTGACGTTGAGTCATTATGTGCACCAGTTCTCTGTATTTGGCACTTTCGAAAAGTGTCGTTGGTTCTACTCGATACTTCACCGCTATAATCAAATCGTATGTGTGGTTTGTCTTGCTGTTGTGTAATAAGCACTTAGCCGGTGGACTCTGATATAACCCCCAAAAAAAATGGGAGATTTCAGCGGACTTGTGCATTTCAATACCGAAGTTCTCTCGGATAACCTTCATATTTGCATTGACGTCAGAATCCCTCGCAATCAGTGGTTCGTCCACTCGAACAAAACTGACGAAGAAGAAAGATACTGTAGAGTTCTCCATTGTAATATATTCCCTCAACACATATTCACCGTGCACAAGCGCATACTCTCAATACCGTAACTTTTAGATTCTATAAACTGTTCGCAGAACTTATGCTGATCCGATTTTTTTCGCTCTCTGCCGACATCTCTAAATACTGCTCCGATATCGACACAGCGATATTTTTTCTCCGCACGTCGATTATGAATGATTTGGCTTTCTACGTCACATCCCTTTGGTGAAAGCGGAGATATTATTGATATTTTTCTATTAAACACCAGAACATTCACTTTGTAAAGAAAAATTCACGAGACCCTACGACTGATATTAATGCATGTGCTGAAACTTCCTCTTTTATGCTTTTAAATATATTCACTGAAAAGAATTAATGAACCACAGAATATCTGACAGACACCATTTGGAAAGTGATGGTTACCATAAAAGAGTATTATTAAAGATAGAAGAATACATGTCTAGTTCACAACATCCTGGCACCAGAGGAAAAATAATCACGGCTCATTGAAAATCGATGTTGGAATTTTGATGGACCGAATAAGGGACTTAGAAATAAAGGACGTGAGAGAAAAAAAGAGGCGGAGGACAACGCGCGGGAAATTAGACGCGGAGGACGACTCGGATAAAAATAGACGCGGAGATCTTCACTCGGCGATATAAAATATAGGCGGAGGACAACGCGAGGAGATTAACCGCGGAGGACGTCACGGCGAGATAAAATAATATAGGCGGAGGACGTCACGGCGAGATAAAATTGATAGGACCTGGGGAAAAAAAAAAGAGCAAGGACAACGTCACGGACGACTCAGCGATAAAAATAGAGGCGGACGGTCAGCGATATAAAATAGATCTGGACAACGCGCGGGAGATTAGCCGCGGAGGACGTCACGGCGAGATAAAATAGAGGCGGAGGACGTCACGGCGAGATAAAATAGAGGCGGAGGACGACCTGGGGAAAAAAAAAGAGGCAAGGACAACGCACGGGAAATTAGACGCGGAGGACGACTCGGCGATAGAAAATAGAGGCGGAGTACGTGTCGGCGATATAAAATAGAGGCGGAGGACAACGCGTCAGGGAGGTATTAGCCGCGGAGGACGTCACGGCGAGATAAAATAAATGGGGAGAAAAAAAAGAGACAACGGACGTCGACGCAGCGATGTAAAATAGGCGATAAAATAGACGGACGACGCGGCGGACGACCTGGGGAAAAAAAAAAAAAAAAAAGAGGCAAGGACAACGCACGGGAAATTAGACGCGGAGGACGACTCGGCGATAGAAAATAGAGGCGGAGTACGTGTCGGCGATATAAAATAGAGGCGGAGGACAACGCGCGGGAGATTAGCCGCGGAGGACGTCACGGCGAGATAAAATAGAGGCGGAGGACGACCTGGGAAAAAAAAAAGGCGAGATAAAATAGACGCGGAGGACGACGATAAAATGGGGGAAAAAAAAAAAAGAGGCAAGGACAACGCACGGGAAATTAGACGCGGAGGACGACGCGGCGATGTAAAATAGAGGCGAACAGGTGAAAAAAAAAAAAATTTCAATTAGACGCGGTTGTTTGAAAATTTCGGAGGACGTGTCGGCGATGTAAAAATAGAGGCGGAGGACAACGCGCGGAGATTAGCCGCGGAGGACGTCACGGCGAGATAAAATGAGGCGGAAAATAGAGGCGGAGGACGACCTGGGGAAAAAAAAAGAGCAAGGACAACGCACGGGAAGTGGACGCGGAGGGACGACGCGGCGATGTAAAATAAGGAGCAGGGGACGACAAAGCGATGGACGGTTATGACGACGCAGCGATGTAAAATTTCTAGGAGGCGGCCGCGGAGGACGTCACATAAAATAGAAGGCGGAGGACGTCACGGCGAGATAAAATAGAGGCGGAGACGACCTGGGGAAAAAAAAAGATAAGGACAACGCACAGGAAATTAGACACGCAGGACGACGGGCGATGTAAAATAGACGGGGGACGACGACAAAGTAGGCGATGCAGCGAAAAAGAGGCGGAGGACGACCTGGGAAAAAAAAAAAATTATATATTTAAATTAGACGCGGAGGACGACACGGCGATGTAAAATAGAGGCGGGGGGCGACACGGCGATGTAAAGTAGAGGCGGGGACGACGCAGCGATGTAAAATAGAGGCGGAGGACAACGCAGCGATGTAAAGTAGAGGTTGGGACGACGCAGCGATGTAAAATAGAGGCGGAAGACGACGCGAGAGAAAATAGACGTGGAGGACGACGTGATATAACATAGAAATGCGAAACGACGTAGTATAAATGGGGGACAAGCTGATATATAAATACAAATAAAGGCCGACGGTTTAAAATAAAGTTGATATCGACGAAGAGATAAAAAATACAAACGGAGGAATAATTGATAGCCTTTAGTTTTACTATAGACTCTATAATAACATGAGATAGCAAATTCTAGACAATATGAAGCTTGCTCAATGAAAATAACATCGGCCGACACTGGATGTTGTCAGACGATCGACAGCTACGATATAAAGCAGGTTATCCATTCATTCACAATAAAATCAGCTCTTAGTTCCAGTGACATTAATATGCGGTGACATTTTTATGCTTCTTCGAAACTGATTTTTTTTTCTTTGCCATGACTGCACGAATCCCTTCTTTTTAGCTTTTTCCCGCTTTTGTATTGCATATTTTGGTTTAGATATTTCTTCACTCTTTCGTATTTAACGTTGGTTTAATTTTTCAGTCTGTTTTCTTTATTATAAGATATTGGTTATCTCTTTTCCTTGCTTGTGACTGTAGTTGATCGCTATATGTTTGTTCATTTCTTTGCTTCGTCCATTTGTCAAGATACCTGTTCTTTGCGGGGGAAAAAAAAAAACTTTTTTTTCTTACTTTCAGAATTCACATCTATATATATTTTCATTCGAATACATTTTAATATTTTTTTTCATTGGCTATCTTTTAAAATTTCATTGTTCTACTTAGATATCTTTAATTTTTCTGGCTTTTTAGAGCTTTAACATTTTCTTCTAAAATCTCTTTTGCGTGTTTTTAATCATTTCACCCCAAGCAAAGGAACAATGCTACAAAGACGCAAGATGTTTCTGAGTGGTAGAAAAATCGAGAAGAACTGCTCTTAAGGGGAAAGGACAATAAAAGTTTAAGAATTACGAAGACGCAAGGTAACTATTAACATTCCATTTAAATTATTGAAGATGAAAATTGACGGGGAAACAAGAAGCTGGAAGAGAGTTCCACAAGCGAGTAGTGCTATACAAGAAACTGTTAGCGGAGAACTTAGGGTTATATCTAGACATTTCGGCAGAAAATTGATGAGACTTTGCAGCCACTCTAGTACTACGCTTACATTCATAAATCTAGGTGTCAAATGTGAAAGCTCATCAGTGCGATTATAGAACAGGCACAAGGATCTTACGTTACATCGGTGAAAAATAACTGAAACCGAGATGCCAGGTTAGGTCCAGTAACATTGCAGATTCTTCTTTAGATTTTATCAAGAACTAGCAGTAGAGCCCGGCGTTGCCCGGGGATGTAACAGTAAGAGATAGATCAAGTATCGGCCATCATAAAGACTGAAAAATAAAATTGATAAAGATTATTGTTTAAGGTTGACGGACACGCATGGCTTAATTAGTTTTTTGTTTTGTTTTTGTTTTTTGTTTTTGTTTTTTTACGAGATGGTCAAACTCAAACAAAAACATGGTTTCAATCGTTATGAGCTTACCGATTGAATAGAATTTTTCAATTTTATTATAAACAATTGTCTTGTAAATGGAATTTTTAAAGCATTCTGAATGTAAAAATAAAGAAAAAAGTGTGCAAGACAATAAGAAACACTACCTGCCAAAAAAAAAGAAGTTTTGTTGAAATCAGTTGAAAAAATGTTGGAAATCGAAAACCATATATAAACGAAACACACACACACACACAACCTGGGTTTTATAATAAGTATAACTCGATATGAGTTGTCCCATTTCATTCTCGAAAATAATGACTCTTAATCGTGTTTTCAAATTGATTTCGTGCAAAAACAATTGTATTTTTCCAATTTTTTTGATGTCAGAACCACCGCAAAGTAATTTACGTAGTCCTGTGAAGTTTTGTTGAAATCGGTTGAAAAATGTGGAAATCCGATCCAATATATAAAACACACACACACATATTTGGACACACACACACACACACACACACACACACACACACACAACCTGGGTTTCATAAGTATGATTTCAAAATATATAGCAGTAACACCCGACCCGATGTAGCATCAAATTTCGAAGCAAGGATGAATGGTAGATATAAATGTGTAAGATTCTGGCGAGAAAAATTGTCTAGCATGACATTCTCTACCAACTTAGCCGAAGACTTAACTATTGATTCAATATATTCTTTCCATTTCATGCCAACTGAATTCTTTAATCCGAGAAGGCGAAGTGAATCACTGTCTTGCAGGTTAGCGTCCGCTGACTGATGGAAGGTAAAAATGGTTCTCTCTTATGGGTCAAAGAGCAGTTTTGTTTTTAAGGATATAAAATTAACAAGCCAGTCTTCTCCACATTTAACAACAGATTGTGGGTAATTTTTTTAAAACGGCTGCCAATTTTACTTTATCGAATCTAATCAGATTTACTATTAAGACAGGAGTAAATAGTTGTCATACGCATAGATAATGTGTTTAAAAGTAAGAGAAAAGAAATCAATAATGTCATTCATTATTGCTTTATTTTTTCTGTTAAGCATTTTCATCTTGGGATAAACTTAACGTCTTGAGTAGAGAAAAACAGTTGAACAATCATTTACTTAAAAGGACGAAACTGGGCACTCGCAGGATATACTGAAGACAATAAAATGACTGTGAGAAAGCGAGCAACATATTTAGTGTAATTTTCTTAATGAAGGAAAGAACAATGGTGGTGTTAAGTCAAAAGTTACTTTGAGTAACAAAATACAATGAAATAATAGGTAACCATGACAGTCAACACGTTTCCGTCATTGAAAATATAATATTGGGAAATTTTATTGTGAAAGATGACATGCAAATTTCTTCTGATTGCTATTTCACAGCTCGACATTATTTCTTATATATATATATATATATATATATATATATATATATATAGACATTTTTATGTTTAACATTCTTTTTATAGATACAAATATTTAAGTAAATGCTATGTTTATAATAAACATTTACATTTTATACGCCATGAGCAGATATGAATGTACGTGACAAATTCATGGATGATTGAAGTTTAAAAGCAGTAAATTCGACCTTGCTAACCGAACGATCCTCTGTGGCGAAATCGGTGAAAGCACGTCAGGCTATATGAAGGTTCCGTATAGGATAGAGGTTCGAATCCTGTCGGAGGACGAATATTTTCTATGAAGATTTCTCGGACATTCAGACCAGTAAATGTTATTTAATACTGTTTATTATAAACAGAGCATTTACCTGAATATTTGTATCTATAAAAGAATGTATAAACAAAAATATGTCTTAAAATAATTGTCGGACTTTGTCCATTTCATAATATATATATATATATATATATATATATATATATATATATATATATATATATATATATTTTTTTATGAATACAGGTTTATATAACTTCACATCTCGTTGACTATATTAATAAATAGCAGTGTATATAAAATTGCGGAAAGTCCTTAATAAAAAACGCATGAAAGATGGAAGGCGCTTCGACTGGATTGGATGAAAGATTAGATCTTTCTTACAAATCCAATTGGAAGTTATAAAACTAAAACCCAATTCAAGAAAGAAATAAGTGATAAATTATTGAAAAGAAAGCAGAAGGATCGTCAGTGAGGGAAAAGAACGAATACAAATTGATTATACGCCAAAACTCCATTGGTTGAACCAACGGATGAAGATGAGATATGAATATATATGGTTTTGTTTGTATTATTCTCATTACATTAACATTTGATGACAACCTATTTATTCCACATCCAGTGAAACTATATATACTTGTCTATCCGTGTATGTTTCTATGTGCGTACCTCTGACGGTCGCTCATTGTCGTGGTGTAGGGGGTTACGTGGTCCAGTAATTCTGAACGCTGCCGTCGTAAGTTCTGAGCACCTGGTAGGACCATGCTTGGCGCCAAGGTCGAAGAGGAGAGCCCAGACAAAACGCGACTCAGCCCAAAGACCCCGACGGCGGATAATGATTACAACTGATCTCAACGGTTGAACCAGCGGATGAAGAGGGCTACGTATGATGGACATGCTTCAGAAGGCGCCCCCCCTCGAAATTATAACAGTCAGCATCAGTCTGTTTCAGTTTCATAACTGGATTGTGCATGTCTCATTCCATGTGTGCCGCAGAGGTAGGTCATGAAATCTAGTGTATGGGTCACTTCCTGTCAAGTTGCGTTTCACCTAACACAAATCACGCCATCGGTACTTTCATTTATTCTGATTCTGTTTCACCTCCAGTCAACGCTTGCAAATGGAAACGGCGATAGGTAATGACGGAAGCAGGTTTTAGTGAAACTGGAAGCTTTTAGTCTTGGTGGCGAATGGGGACGCAACTGACACAGCAGGAACTGGGATTCAGTTCCCCTGATAACACTCTCTGCTGATAGCCACTGCACCGTTCACATATAGCTTTAAAATCAGTACTACTCTCAGGTATACCGTTCACGAACGTCGAACATTTCGATACATTGTTATGTAAGTCAACTCTCTCACTCTCTCACTCACTCACTCACACACACGTGCGCGTATTCTTTGCTTTATATATAGAAAAGAATATTAAATATTAGAATTTGATTTGTGATCATACAATACCGCCTCTATGAACGCCATTAAGAATTCCTCTAAGAGTTCGTACATAAAATGAAAAGCATTGATGTACCCGTCGTTTCCCTCTTTCAAACTGATGGATTCAACCATAAATATATACGCGTATTTGGTTATGTAAATATTCCTATAATATCCTGAACGCAGAACTGAAAACGGTGAAAATTCAAATTGTTAAACAGATCCTTTGATTGGGCATAATGATAGCTTATCAGTAACTTAGACCCAGCTTTGCGCGGCAACAAACCGCTAACTCTGGAATATATATGGATAAACATCATGATGAGAAAACTGGGAAATGTGACATAAGTTTGTATATATGAGATAATTTTCATATAAGTGGAGTGAATTCATTTATTTGATCCGATGATGGGATCACTTGAATGGTAACGTATAGGTGCGTGTGATTACGTTCATACTG